TCTGTCTAACATAGTACATAACATTAATCCTCAACTTTACCATAATTTATTTCAAAATTAAGGCTGCAATATTTTCGGCATAACGGAGGATCTTGCTAAGCCATTTGAGGTAGTATAGACTCTTAATCATTGAAACCGCTCGACCAATTAACTTGAAAATCTAAGCAGCTCGAATTCGGACACCGTGTCGTCCAATCGCCGATTTCGATTGGTTGATTCGTTCTAAAGATGTCGTACGACAAAATTTAACTACATACATGCAAGCAAGCATACACGCACGCTCGCACGCACACACGCGTGCACGCACGCACTCTCCCGCACGTACGCTAGCATGCACACACGCACGCGCGCATTCACTCTCCCGCACGCACGCTCGCACTTACACACGCACACACGCATGCGCTCTCCCACACGCACGCTCAAACGCACACACGCGCGCACGCACACGCACTCCGGCACGCACTTCTCGCTTTGAAAATTAATAAGTTTTTCTCTATTGTAACCTTAACTTTATATATATCATGCAATTAAAGTGCGATTTTTGTAAAAAAAAAGTCAGTGTACATTCATTTTAAAATATGCCTACTTAATACAAATTTCAAAATGGTATCACATAAAGCCGCCAGAGGGACGCCGATGTGTTTCTAGCCTAGTGCGCTAGCGACATTTAGTCCGCCTCTGTATGCGAGATTTTTTTCTTGTTGGCCGATTATTTTAGTGCATTTTGTACAAATAAACGAAGCTTGTGAACAAGCTCAGCATTATTTCACTGCGAATTCACCCAGAAAGTCACACCTGCCTCCTCTGTTGTTGCCTTATTTGGTGTTGACATACATACAGAAATTCTCGATATTGAATGGTAAATATTAAGATATATTAAAAAAAGGACCCACCAATAATACAATTCGGTACAGTCTATTAAGTCTATGCTACAAATAGTATATACACTTTTACTCTATCTATGGTATATACTACAAAATCCAACCCTGGTTACGTCGTCGACCAATACAACGCGGCACTCTTTTAATTCGCATGTATTGTGACAGATGGCGCTAGGTTTACTTGTATGAAGAAGGTATAAGTAAAACGTTTAGATGGGCGTATCCTTCCTTTTGAAATCATTGGATTTACCGTAATCGGCAAGCTCGGCAGGCAGATTGGCGATCCGAGTACCAAACGTGTTTAACTATGGAGTGTAGAAGCAAGGAGTACCAATTCCCATAGTAGAATAGTTGAAAAAGTGTCAATCTGTAAGCAGTAAATAACAGTTCAAAAACTCTCCACACCGCGCTGAAGTAGCTACTGGGATGAAATGAACTTAGCAGTTGTCGACGGTTTGAAGTGTGCTGCTAAACTGCTCAGTGGCTCAAAAATCTAAAATAATTTTATTTAGTAAATATAACCTCGAAAAAGTCGTCTATCAAACTAACATTTTTCGGTAGGCTCTTTAAAATTTAATCCGTAGCTATAGTGGCGCCACCCTTATATAACGGTTTTCTACGGGCACTTTTTAATACAGTCTGTACTCTTTACTTCTACACTCCATAGTCTTCAACCTTTGACGTTGCTCTTGGTCATTTATCCACGTATTTGGAGTCTTGTTTAAACGGGTTGGTTGTACCGACGTTTGTCAGAACCATGAAATAATCATGTATTATGCTGCGCATTTCGAGTAACTCTTTAGTAATCACGAGGATCTATACTGGCTCTTTTAACTATTATATTCAACTTAAATAATTACTCTAATTTAATTAAGTTACGTTATAATATTTAAGTAACGTAATAGAATAAATTAGAGACTTCGGAAACATTATTCTTGAGATGCAAGAGCTTTAGGTATATACCAAAAACTCAGAAAAATCAAAAAGGCCCATAAATTCCGAATTAAACGTATGGGTTCATTTTGTCAATAATAAAACAAAATATTAAAATCCAGATAACACTTTAATATTACTACAATTATTTATTTATCCTATACTTTGGAAGCATGGCACGATACTTGTTACACACAAAGCGATTTGCGAAAGATATGACAACACAGATAAAAAATAAAATATACCTTTACTAGTCGATACGCCTAGCCTTACAGCAAAATTATATTTATATTTAAAGAATTAGCGTTCCATGCTTCGAAAGTGCAGGAACACTTAATACTATGACTAAATAAATTATATATATATAGTGTTAATTTGATTAAACCTAAAGTATCACAAAAAATGACTGATCACTTTGGATTTCATTTTTATTTCCATTATATTACAAAACATCGTTAAACTAATCAAAAGGACATAATTATAGTACAGAAGTAGAAAATCAATTTAAAATATAACAAGTGGTACAATTATGAAAGTATAAAAAGGGCATATTTTAATTAATATTTGAATTCGTTCAGTCCTTTGAAATCTTATAAAATAGGTATATAACTGAAGAAAATTATGCAGTTTAATTAATCAAAAAATTACGTCATTATTTAAGTAATTATCGTCATCATCGTCATCATCATCATCATTGCAGCCTATCAATAGTTCACTGCTGAACATAGCTCCCTTTAAGTGTTAATTTGATTAAAATATAACCATTTGCCATAACTGCCACGTTTGGCGGGCGGGTTGGCATGTATTTTATTTTTATTTTGAGTAGTTATCAGCAAAATCCTGCTGCTCATCTCTCTCCGACTTCTCTTATGACACCCACAAGTGATCTGGAACAGTTGACCGCTACTAAACAGCAGTAATAATTTTAAGTAATAAATTTTGTTAAATAATGACGTGATTTAATTAAATTAATCGCATTACAATAATATAATTTGGAACAAATATAAACAGTAAAAACAAATACAAAAATTTCTTACATCTTGGCAATGTGTATAATATATTTGCGGATTGTCACCCTAATCGTGCACCGGAAAATTTAATTATAGGTACTATTTAATAATTTGAAAATTAAAGTATTAAAAGAAAGAATGTGAATTATTTTATATTTACTACTCAATCAAAGGTTATAACTATTCAAATCAAACAGAACCTGTCAACTTTGGCATGCCCAAAATTCCATTTGACAAATCACATTTAAATTGTAGTTAAATAAACTCATTTTATACTACTCTATTCGTTATAAGAACGACAACGAAATAGACGAGATAACATAAGTTCTCTAGAGGTGCATAGAAGGCGAGAAACGAAAGGCTTCTAGCGACAGCAAATTTGTAATTTAACTAATTACCCGCTAATTCTAATGGCAAATTTTAATGTGATTTAACATCAACAAATTAAAGTTTTTGTGTAGAATAAGCATATGTGAAAACCAAGAACACAGTACACCTGACAGTAAGTAGTGGATGCTGTGGCACATAAATACCTACATCTATCCTCGATTAAGAATCAAAACGCAGATGCGTTGTCACCGCTAAGGTTTTCGCCGATATAAAATTCCCTTAATAGTTTTATGTATGTTTTATATATATATATATATATATATACTATCTTACGCTGGTATTATATGCAAGCATAGATCGATAATGGCGCCAAAGTAGCTCTGACATGTTAAGATCTTGTAGTGCATACTTGCATGAAAGTTCAGAAAAATCTGTTGTGTATATTATCATATCTTCATTCTGAAATATCTTTAATACATATAAAATACTGGTCAATCATCAATTTATCGACTTATTTCGATTAGTGTGGAAATACTTCAGTAGAATGACCACTAAAACACAAGTCATGAAGCATAATACTATCAGTCGTATTGCAAAATGTGATGTGTTGTTAGTTTAAACCAGGGCCACCGGTGGACCGGAGGGGAGTAGCCATAGGGTTTTGCTGTTGCGTGTTACTCTATGGTTTAACGTTTCGTAATAAGACCGAAAGTTATAAATTTTGAACATTCTTTAAAGTATAAACAACATGAATATGGATGAAAGATGACATACTGATTTAGATCATTCTCGTTTGGTTTATTTATTACTTAATGAATCAGACACAATACTTACATTATTATATATTCTATATTATATTATTTTATTAATTCAATAGCAAATTAAGCCAAATAGAAAACATAAATTTTGGTGATAGCACATAAAAAGTTATACCACTAAATTATGTAGTCTTTAAAAATTGGATATAATGGGTGAAATTGAGAAGTTTCCAACTCATTATTCTGAAAAATAAAAAGATATTATAAAGCTTAAAATTGGAATAATAACTTTCAACGCAATCAATGTTGTGTCTGTCACTAGTGGATTATGATATACTGTGTAATATATAGGAGTCGGATAAAAACATAACTGTCAAGTTTCATGGTATAATTTCTCTAGTAGGAATGTACAACATATCGTAAAGAGAAACCTATAGACTAATGATTAGCGTGGTCTCGAGTGAGAAAGGACGATAACGTAGTTTTAGGTTATACAATAATCTTTATGACTTAAATATATTTAGATAAAAAATTTTTAATTGTTCTAAGAACTGAACTGAACAAGATTCACCAATCTTAAGCTCACAAAATACTTTTTTCTCACTTAAACCAACTTGTAAACTGCTTAGATCGCTATGAACTGTCAAAGTTGTTTAGCAAAGAGCAAAGTTGCTATACAAAAAACCGGCACGGAGAAAGGGACAGACAATCACACCTCTCTATCTCATTTCTATGCAAGACGTATGTATAAATCTATCTTTTTCGTGTGCGAATGCGAAAGAAGGCGTCAATTTGTATATAGGTTTCTCTGTCTACGATATATAAAATATATAATACAATACATATATTAAACAGAATTCCGAAGTGTGAAAATGAAAAAAAAATCATCGTAATTTCAAAAAAATAATAGCGAAAAATAATAGCGTATTTAATTATAACAATATGTAAACACTAAAGTATCAAATAAATTGGAATTCTTAAAGCTTTTATTTGATTTGAATACAATATTTGCATAGTAGAATTTAAAAATAATTAATCCACTTCCACATTAAAAACTATTCAGTTAATTTGTTCACTATATATAGTCCTTACGACATGGAATCGTATCTAGTATCGGATGTCAGAGGGTCATTATCGTCCCTCTGCCTGAAATCGAATGCGTTCCTAAAGCTATCCCTAAGTCGTTCTGTAAACGTTTTATAATCCAAGCGAGCTTGTTGGCCAAAATCAAAGTCGGCGACTTCAATCGTATACCTGAAAAAATAAAAATTACAAATAAGTCGTTATTAAGCCAATATGTGTTAACCAGTGATGTCCTATAGAACAAATATGGTCGGCTCGTAGCTGATGGTCGTAGAAGGAAACTCAAAGTGCATTCAAAAGTATTTAACTAAAAACTAGTAGTCTCCGTAACCATGCATCGATTAACGGACGAATTAGTGATCGCTGTACTAGAAAACGCACAATCTATATGCAGTTCTGTTTTTCAGTTTGGTACTCTTTAAACGACTGCAAGGCGAAATTGTCACAGCACCATGGGCCTAGCGTTACAACTCCCACCAGAAGCCAAAATTTTTGTACTAAAATACAGATTGATGTTTTTTGGGTAATGTTGTCCTTCTAGTGCTGTCTTGTCTGCTGGCTCATCAGACATTGTTCTGCTTTTTCCAGTAGAAAGCGCGATGAGTTTCAATCCAAATTCACTACGGACTTGTTAGTTTAAATATAAAATGTATCAATAACTCGGCCACTATGTCACTTTTTTTGAACGTATTTCATGCCAATTGTTTAAATTCAGTGCCAATTGGGCATATGAGCCACTTTGTTCCATCCATTACCATCGATTAATTACAGTCTATAAAAGTCCACATAGGCCTCCCATATAGATTGCCTCATGGAGGAATTTTGCCATATGTGCCACGCTTGGCAAGCGAGTTAGCATCAGGAACATACTGCTACCCATCTCCGGTTTCATTTTCCTTGGGAAGATATGGGGTAATGGATGTTCTTAAAACGCCACAACACGGTTGATTTTGTTCCATAAATATAGAGTTTGTTAATTACTTGACAGCGCTAACAATCTGATACTAGCATAACTTTAAACCATTGTCTAGACAAAGTATTGTGTGAATACAATATGTTCAGAAGTTACAGCAGTATAAACTTTTTACATGAACTGTCTTACTGTAAAAAAAAATGTTATTACAGTCTTAAGCATATTGTCTGATTTTTTTTTATAGAGAGGGAGGGGGCAAGCAATCGTGCGGTTCAGCTGATGGTAAGTGACTACCGCCGCCCATGAACAACTGCAAACCAGGGGAATTGCAGATGCGTTGGTGGCCTTTTAAAAATTAGTAGGTCCCTAAGTGGTATCGGTTCGGAAAAATCTCTGGTTGTAGTCGATTCTAAAGGAAGTTGTGCAAGGAAGAAAACTTCTTTTAAATCGCCCAGTGGTGGACCGCCAGTCATCCAGATGGTATGGATGGTATCGCGAGTTTTGTCGCGATGTGCGATGGTGAAATTGTGAGGCTGGAATTAGTCCGAACAATTCTTCAGAGCACTCCCCGTGGTAAATGCGATAAAATACGCAAAGAGATGCAACATCTCTTCACAGTGCCAGTGAGTCAAGCCGATCGGAAAGAACTCGATCGCCGACGATTCGGCGACGAAGGGTATAAACTGGCACTGGGGAGCCCCAGTTCAGAGATGGGAACAGTATTCCATGTGCGGCCGAATCTACGCCTTGTAAAGTTGTAGGCGGTGTGCCGGCATGAAATACTGTCCCGCTCTGCTGTCCACGCCAAGCTTTTTAGAGGCCAATTTGGCCCTCTTCCAAGTGACCACGAAATTGCACGTCACTCGATATGTCGACGCCAAGGTTTCCGATACTGGCTAAGGCAACAAGGGGAGTGCCTTGAAACTGAGGAGATACGACAAAGGGGTTCTTTTTAGCGATAAACGCGAAAAAAACTTGTATCTTTTGGGATTGAACTAGATTTAGTCGCCCCCAATTCTCGTCTTAAGACAAAAGTTTGTTTCCGTACTTAGCGACGTTTTCTCGAGAAATATTGGAAAGGCCGGTGTATAAAAGCATCACCAGTGCTGTCATCCGCATAGCAATGAATATTACCGGTTTGGCAACAAATCATTGATATGCAGAAGAAACAGCGTTGGTGGTAGCACGCAGTCTTGTGAAACACCAGCATTAATGGGCTTGTAATCGGAACATGCACCATCTACTAGATCGATCTTGATGCTCCGATCTGCAGAAAGCTGATCCAATTGCACAATTTCTCGGGAAGCCAATAGGAACGAAGCTTTGTAAGAAACGCTTTATGCCAAACTTGATCGAAAGCCTTCGCTATGTATGTATGTATAACTAACGGCCAACGCCTCCCCCTTGGACACTACTGCCTCCACCCATCTATGAGTTAGGTAACCCAGAAGATCACCAGCTGAGCGACCCTGACGGAAACCGTACTGGCAGTCACTAATCAGCTGGCGATCCTCAAGGTACCTCATGAGCTGGAAGTTAATAATTGTTTCCATTATTTTGGAGAACAAGGAGATGATAGCCATAGGCCTGTAGTTGGACGGATCTGAGCGGTCGCCTTTTTTAGGAATCAGGTGCACTAACGCTGTCTTAAATGAGTTCGGGACTACAGCTAGGGAGTAGAAGTACCGTCTTTGGACGCCTCAGGCCCACTCGACTTGTTGACGCCCAGGGAGAGGAATGCTCTGCGCACCGAGCGCTGGGTAAACAGCACATCCTGCATAGAGCACTCACGCCGCGGGATGGTCGGCGGTGTTGTCATCAGGTCGAGATGAACGCAAAGAGAGAGCCCAGCAGATTGGCTTTGTCCTTTGCGGCATGGGCCAGTGAGTCGTCCTCCCTGTGCAGAGATGGGAGAGATGGTTGACAGAAGTTCCCTTTGACAGCCTTGGCGAGAGACTAGGATGCACGTGTTTCCGAGGTAAGACGAACTAGCTTCTCGCCAATTCTGCCGATATGACTTTGCCTTGGCAACGACACTTTTGAAGTACCTGGAGGAGGAATTATGCTTCTTAGGTTCTGCCTCCGATAGGTACCACAGATGATAGAATAAAAAGTTCCATTCCCTGTAGCACCACATCAGTGACATAACCGGCAACAACGTTGGGATCATCCGGCGAGAAGCAACCCGCCTCCAAGGGTGGGATGCAAAAAAAGATCGTATCCCGTCCCAATCGGCTGACGTATAGTGCCAAACACGGCGACAACCTGCAAAACGCAACCGCGATGTGAGCGTGAGTGGCACCATACTCCGGATCAGACAATGATCCGAGGAGCCAAGAGGGACACCGACGGACACCTGATATCCGTCCGGATGAGAGGTCAGCAGAAGGTCGAACAGGGAAGGTACGTGATCTTCCACATCTGTGATCTGAAGTGAATCTGTAGGCAAAGTAACCAGTTTGTCAGAGCATATGCCAAAGCAAAGTCATAAACAGATCTACCTGCATGATCAGTGAAATGGGAACCAAGCCATTCAGCGTGGTGAGCATTAAAATCACCAAGCATCACGATCTCTGCAGATGGGATCTGTTTTAGAACGGAGTCTGCAGCCATTTGGACGTGGTTGATGAGTCGGTCTGTGTCGGCATTACCGCTATGGAACCTATAGATGCACCCGTAGACTTGGGGATGGTCCTCGCTGTCTACGCGCAGCCATAGGATGGATAGGTCCGTACGTTCCAAGACTGCCGAGGCGTCGCAAACAGATGACCTCTCTGAAGTATACACAAACTCCAGACTGGGGCGCAAAGGAGTGCCTGAGCACCCACACTCAGGAAGAGTAGGGTAGCTTGGGCGTGGATACTCAGCAAGGGATTCTCTGTCAGCAGGGGTGCTGGTACCCTCCTGGGGTAGTATTTTATTTAACTCCGGTACCATGTCAAGGGGGGGGGGGATTGGGCCTCCGGCCACCTGCCCTCACCAGACGAAATGCAGAAGCAGAGCTATTACTCCCCGCTGGTCTTCTGTGAGGTCGTGGTACCACCCCGGTTCGAGCCCGCCCATAAGTGCAATAGCAAAAGCTCGCGCGTGACTCTACCAATGTTCAATGAATTTACTAATATCAGACTTATCAGTAAATGAACCTAACGATATCTTTATCAGCGCGTAAAAAGTAGACTGCTGGAGATAGAAATTTCTCTTAACAGTTTAAAAGGGAAAAATAGGAATTTTTTTGTATGCAGGTTTTTTATATTGTTGTATTCATAGTACAGGGATTTAGCATCAAATATCAAGTTTAGTATTGTACTATAAATATCCTATACAATTATGCAAGCAAAATTTATATATTTGTTTCCTTGTTTGTAATTGTTATTGAAAACGAAATAATCATGGAAAACTTTTCAGTAATATTCACAATACAGAGGTTTACGTTTATTACGGGAGCGAAAAATTGATCTAAGACCAAAGTATAGGTTTACCAAGCCGAAGTGCGCGAATTCTGCAATGTGTATGTACTTTTTATAGAAAATAAGAAAAAAATGGGCCAAATTAAGAGTACCCCTAACCGACCAGCATGTATGCGTAGGTATATGGATGTGTAGGAGGCGAGAGAGGTATGTCAGGATCGTGCTAAATGGAAGTCTGTAGTCCCTCTGCATACCCCTCTTGGTGACAGGCGTGAACGTTTATGTATGTAAGAAAAGCCTATTTATTTAAAATAAATTAATAAAATTATTTAGTCGTAGGATGATTAGCGTTATTGAAATTTAAAGGTTTAAAATTATTTATTTCCATAGCTACATAGTGAGTAAGTTAAATAATTGTGTAGTGCTAGAGGGAAATCTTAACATGTATAACTGAGAATTGGGACCCACAATTCAGGCATGTCTAGTGTGGGGACCACGACAATTTCAGTTGATTTGTAAATCTTTTTATCTAATAAAAAAAAACCTTTTTTTTTAATATCACTTGAGGTGTCTCACATCTATGAATGCTTCCCTTCGTTAGTCTAGGTATTTTTCATCTGGTATGGTTACTTTATAAATAAACATTCAAGTTCTCTTAGTTGATTGGTACAACTACGTTGAAAAGGGGATGTTGTAATGGAAATCATCTAACGCATCTCTAACGCCACCACAATTCGGCGGATTTCAGTTCAGTGCATTCAAACATGGACCTTACCTTAAACATATGTATATACATTAACATTTTACTTACCTGGACCGATGTTGATAATAAGCTATACCAAACACCACCAGGATAACTGCTACCAGGCAGAATACCACGGGTACTACAATTACTGATAATTGGGCGTGGACGGCAGCTGGAAAAAACAAGGCCAGAGATTAATAGATCAAATGATGGGATTATTTATATACAACTATAACTTCAATTGCTAAATACGTGCACTTGGTGGAGTCTAGTAATATTAATATACGGACGAGACCCTGACCACCTTTCAAAACCCTCATTTTCCACAGACTGTTGATGTGAAACAACATTACCAATGTGAGGGTATTTGCTCCAAACTCACCAACCAGCCATCCCATCATACGAATCAAGAACAAATCTCATAAGAAAAAGTCCATATGGCATATTCTCGATAGACCTTAAACAACGAAATCACGTGTGATAAATAAAGATGCCAAAATCATGATGTTTAAGTTACATCGAACTTGAAGTCCATTTATGTATATTTATTATGAACTTGATATCCATGTCACCCGTAGGCAGTGGCGAAGCTAGAGCTCCAAGCTAGGGCAAGCCCAAGATATAAATTGATAAAAATATAGATTGTTGTTTTTAGCAGTTTTATAAAAATACACCAATCTTGATCTGTCTCCACGCTTCAGTTTCATATTCAGTGCTGTCAAGAACGTGTTTAACAAAGCACACAGAAGGCATACCACTGCTAGATAGATTGTATTACATATCAGCAATTGCATAGCTTCGGTGGCTTTGAAGAAAGCCGTTTGGGTTTGTTTAAGCGAAAGAAAAAAATATTTACATCCAATACAATACATGAACAAAAGTAAAACACGAACAAAGTACAAACAAACTATGTACAAAATTAAAAAAAAATTATTTACATTCTAATGGATAAGAGATAAGATAAGTGGAATTGTCTCACTTTCTTATGGAAAGATTTAATTACGTCCACGTAAAATGTTGGTGAACGTTTTAATTGTACCAATAACTGTTTTTAATTGCGATCATTGATAAGTCTGAAATACACTCTTAACCTTGTGTATTATCTCAACAAAGATTAAAAATTTCCTCTCCGATTATCACTTTAACACACTTCAATTTATCACAAGGAATACTATTATCCTCTATTTTCATTAAAAATCTTTAAAAAAGCATAAATTTTGAACTCGTAATATTAAATCGATTAAGATAAGCACACAGAGTAAATAAACATTGAAACGTGAAATGAACTTGCAAACGTATTGCCCGCGCGCCTCCGCTTTTAACAAATTTATTCCCAAAAGCCTGGCTTTAAATCTCTATACTAATTGCTATATATATACAATCGTAGTTATATTTCATTATAGAATATTTTGCCATAGGTTAGAACGAGAGCGATCGTCTTCTCGAAAGCCCCGTAAAAAGCCCACGCGAGCGAGGGAGACAACTATTCGCTCTATTAAAACTCTTTTCTAAGGCAATACGAGGTCATCGGTCGACATGTGTCGAACAGTGGAGTGCGCGGGAAATTTGAAATAGCTGACATTTTACGAGTTATTTTATTAGTTGATATTATTGATTGATTCAGGTTTAATAAGGCAACCCCGGCTTTTCGGCTTTAATGGAAACTTCGCCACTGCCCGTAGGCAACACCAGAGAGTCAAAAAAAGCCAGCATAATTAATGAGGCATTTTATGTTGATCTTCAAGAATAACAACACATCAGTGGTCTTCTTCATTTAATCTCTATAATTAAAAGTCTATTTGCTCTCTGTTAGTTTTACTTAAACTCTAATGACCTGAATATAACAGAACGCGAGTAACCCGGGTTCGATCCTCGCCGGCACCAATGAAATTGTTAATTGCAATTTTAAGTGCTGATTTACCACATGCTCAGCGGTGAAGGGAAACATCGTGAGGAACGTATATATATATATATATATATATATATATATATATATATATATATATATATATATATATATATATATATATATATATATATATATATATTGTGTAAAATATTTGACAAAAATTAAAGTAACTGTACCTTTGTAAATATTTATTGTAGCTCTCGAAACATTTTTGCCAACATCATTTTCCACAATCACTATAACAGTGTGCTGATCGCTGTCTGAGAAATAGTGAACCAATGGAAAAGCATTGGATACAGTCCTTGTTTTAAAATTGCAAGTCTCATTCCCAGTTATGTTATATTGTCCCTCTTTGTAAATGGCGCAATAGTCAAATGGGGGCGAGCCCGTATACTTCACTTGTAAATTCAATAAATCACCATGCTGCAGCCAATTGAGACCGGTGATATTAATTGTCGAAATTTCCTCTGAAAATTAATGAAAACACTCAAAATTTAAAGTAGTAGACCCACGCGGCAACAATATTTTGTTTGTAACAGGAATGGGCCTGATCAACCCGGCAAGGACAATGCTCACCAGAGTACCAGCATTAAATAGCAGTTTGATGCTGTTGTTTCGTATGTTGAGTATAGAGAACCGAAGACCCTTTTTACTGGTAACTGAGACTCATTCCATCTTAGTCCTAAGGGGTGACAACGAATCTACATATTTATTATTGTTATGGGCCATAACATGCATCAGCACTGTGTGATCTTTTGTTACCCTTATTATATAAAAAGGCAGTATTTTGAGATTACTGAAATTGTATTTGTAATTTAAGACTGATTTATTATGTGCTAAACATTGTGAGGATACAGATTTACGTGGTACAACCATGCTGCATCTATATTGGTAGCATAGTTGTAGCACGAATGGGTTGGCTCGACCGGGGAAGGACCACGCTCACAGAATACCAGATTAAAATAGCTGATGTGTTTCGTATGGTGAGTGTAGAAAACCGGAGACCCCTTTTACTGAAAATGGGGCATATATAATATAAAAATGATTGTATATATGTATGTATATATATATATACATACATATATACAATATATATATACAAGATGTAACAAAAACCCTGTGGTTCCCGATAACTGGGTTATCAGAATCAGTATCCAAGCATATAGAAATAATTTTTTTTAAAAAACCACATTTAAAAAAAATTAATTTTAATTAAAAAAAAAATAATTTGCAAATTGTATGTGGTTTTATTATCTCTGCATTGGCCGAGGAGTAAGAAGATTGTCAAAGACCCCGCTTTACCGATACTCGTGTGAGTTAGAGGAAATAAAACCACATACAATTTGAAAATTAATTTTTTTTAGATGTGTTTTTTTTAAATTATTTCTATACTCTCGGATACCGATTCTGATAACACACTTAACGGGAACCACAGGGTTTTTGTTACATATTGTACATATATATATATATATATATATATATATATATATATATATATATATATATATAATATATATATATAATATATAATAGGTCTATCAAATGTCTTCGTGCCACAGCAACCATTTACCATCAAGTGGACTGTGTATTTTTTTTTATAGAATAAGGGTGACAAACAAGCACACAGTCCACCTGATGGGAAGTGAATGCTGTGGTCCATAGACATCTACGTTTATCCTCGATTAAGAATCAAAACGCAGATGCGTGTTATCACCTGTGAGGACTAAGATGCAATGCCTCGTTCCTAGTAAAAAAGGATCTCGGAGTTTCTACACTCACCATACGAAACACAACAGTATTAAGCTGCTACTTTACGCTGGTATTCTATGAGAGCATGGTCCTTCCCCGGGTGAACCGACCCATTCTTGCTACATCTATACTACTAATATAACTGCAGCATGACTCTACCATGTATGAAGTATCTTCATGATAACAATGTAAAGTAATACTATGCGGGGCAATTTTAGCAAATATCCCCCTATGAGGCAATCTGCTGGGAGGCCTATGCTAATTCAATACGGGAGAGACATATGCAGGATCTCCATTCCACAACAATTATTTTTATTTGTGCAAGCATTTTCTTGATAACAACTGGAAACGGGGCATTTCATCTTAGTCCTCACGGATGACAACGCATCTGCATTTTGATTCGTAATCGAGTATAGATGTAAATGTCTATGGGCCACAGCAACCACTTACATTCAGGTGGACTGTGTGCATACAGCAACACACAAAACATTAACACTTTGAAAAGTTTGCAGCTTGTAAATGTGTTCAAGATTCGTATTCTTTGTATTCTGCCAATTAAAACCATTTACAAAACGCAAAACCTAAAAAAATATTAAAGTTTAATATCAAAGATTGTTTGTAATCAGAAATTAGAATCAGATTATTCGAAATATTACAATCACAAACATTGATATAGATCACAATATATGACCGTGCGAACAAAAATTGTTCACGGTTTGAGCATAGCATAAATCAGCGCCATCTCTTAAATACTCATGAACTACCATGGATGCAGTGTTTTCACATATGATTTTGGTTTTACCCTAGAACCTGTAGAAATACTCCCTAAATTATAAAAAATATAAATAGCCTTATTTATTGCACCTAATTTTCAATATTTTAAAGAACATCATTGCAAGTAATTATCATTTCACAATTAAAAATCTTGAGTTTTGTGATGAAGAAGACATTCTCATTTTCAAATTATAATAACACTTAGTCTCATATGAATAACGAATATCTATCTAAGTAAAAATATACCGTTATTCTGTTCTATTTATCATATTATTTATTAAAGAAATTTTTTTCATTCTACACTTTTCTAGCTTTTTGACCCTATCTCCTTCAATAATCTTTAAAAAAATACATTGGGTGGGAATAAAAATCAAGGTTACATGAAGTTCGGTTTTACCTCAAATTATCTAAAACCTTGTCAAGTTGAAGAAACGCCTAAAGGCCTACCTATATTATTAGATTTACCCTAAAATAGTGCAATATATCTAAAAGTGGAAAAACTGCACGGACGCACGGCACGCATTGGTGGTCGCATTGGTGCTCCATAAACATTTTAGCACCAATGAGTGGGTGCCATTTTGTTTGTTCAATGACCCGGTCCATATGCAGTAGTGTAATAAGTCTATGGATCACAATATATTAATGAAAAAAATATAGAAATAATTACTCACCCCTAACACTAATAGTCTCTTGATAGTGACCATATGTGAATGTCTTCCCAATAGGAACTATGCTGGAATTATGACAAATATAATCCTTTGTGGAGTTGTTTCTTTTCTTCATTATAGTCCTATTTGATATCATTCGCTTTGCTATTCTATGCGTAACTGGCTCTGAACTTTCTGTTATTGTTTCAAACTGTGTAGATGGAGTTATTGAATAGATTTGTGTTGCATTATTTGTAGTTGTTTTTGGGGGTTTTGTTGTAGTAGTGGTAGTGGTAGTAGTGGTACTGGTGGATGTGGTACTGGTAGTCGTAGTAGTGGTTGTTGTAATTGGTGGTAATGGCATGTTGTTAGCCACAACCAATGCATCTATGTAATGGTCACCCATTAGATCTAGGTATGTGTAATTTAATGACAGATCTGTTGTTTGATCTATATAAATACAATCAATGAACCAATATGTGATAATGGTTGAAGCATTTTCCCTAAGAAATTGCATCTCATTATCTGGCAGTTTTATGTAATGGAGAACAGTCTTATTGACAGCTACAAAATTGTTGGGTCTATCCAAATTATTCTGATTCAGTACTAAATTTCCATTTAATGAATCTGAAATTAAAAGAAATATTGTGTATAAAATATGCCAAAAATGTAAATGCTTCTCCATATAGCTCTTAGGTTTTAGCATTACATATATGGACTTTTTGATTAAATATTGTAATTTTTACATAACTATTATTTATTGTATGGAAGAGTCCATAAACATCTGCAGCAGGGGAATTTGCAGATGCATTGCCAGCATTTTAGAAAGGAGTCAACTCTTTTATTGGTCCCTAAGCCATATCAGTCAGAGCTCTGAGGTTATTCCCAAAGGTGACTTCAAGTGATTGATGAACTTCTTCGAGGCAATTTCATGTCTCAAATAAGTATTATATTCCTGCCCATGCGCAAATGTTTTATACATGAAATTGCGAAAAACAGCCCATTGTAAACTAAACTCCTCGCGAAATGCAGGTGTAAACCGTGAGTTCAGTCGCAAACGGTGCCTATCCGAGACCAGGGCAATTCGTGTAGTATTATAGTCCTTCCCTCGGCATACGGCACTCCGCCAGGGGTGACCGAATATTGCTCTAGCCTAATCATGGGACCAGTGGACAAAAATCGACATTTTGAAAAACTCAATTCTCTGTAGGTCTGGAAGAGATTCTTTTAACCTCATCAACACCCTGTAACACAATGCCCCAACCTGGGATGAGCCGTGAAGTAGAGGGCATGTCTGCAGCCAAACCACAATCAGAAACAAACCAGGGAAGGGACAAGAACAAGTTTGCTAGGCCTTACAAGCTTAGTGGGACAGTACGGAAGAGATATAGAAGGTTGATAGCAGCTGAGATAGGAACCGAACAGGCCCTCTATCTATGCCAGAAGCCCTGGGGCGAGATCCCTTTGCCCAAATTTCCCCTGGTTCGGAAGGCGAAAACACGCAGTCGGTGTGAGTAGGAGTCTTCCTAAGACCAGCCGAAAAAATGTGTTGGCGGTAAAAATTGAGTTGAACTAGTGCAAGTGAATTTTGTACTCAGAGTAATTGTTTCTTTTTGTTGTTGAAAAACAATATATGACCATCTTTTTGATTCAACTTGGGTTGATTGTGATAATCTGACATTTTATTGCAATGCTACGTCGACATTTAACTGAAGAAGATGTGTAAAGAGCAGTGGGAATGCTGCAGGTTAGTGCTTTTTGAAGTGACGTCGCCTTTTTTTTTCGAGGTTGTGGTCACGTTATCGTGCCACGGGGGAGGTGGAGAAGAGACATACAGGACCAAACCTCATTACTACAGCAATTTTCAAAAAGCTTATCAACAACAACAACACATTGATCTCGCCCTCATATAAGAGCCCTGGGTGACTAACGGTCAAGTTTTGAGATTGTCAGCTGCTGGTAAGATCTTAATCAATACTTAAAGCAGTAGACACAGTACATGTATAATTTACAATATAAAAAATTGTACTTTTAGCTGTTCCAGAGTACTGCAACGACGACCTGGTTACAGTCTTCATAAATCTCAAGGGATGCACAGGGCTCAGAGTAATCATTTACTCAGCCTATCTTCCTGGAGAAAGCTCAAATATATATAGAGTTTAGAGCCATAGAGTTAGAGCGAGAGGCAGAGTTCGCCCGATAACACAACGCCGAACACGGTGGTTTGCGATGCTAATACTCACCACACAGCCTACAAAGAGGTGAGTACTCTACGACTTTCTCATCTCCAATCGCCTGGTAAGCCTAAACTTAGGGTGTACACCAACCTTTGTATGTATGCCATGTTAGTAGTGAAAATTCAATGTCTGGTCAAAAACACATTAAGTTTGTGATTGGAGCATCACCAACTTATGAAACAACAGTTTGTTTTAGTGATCTAAAAGCAACCTCCTGGGATGACTACAGAGATAGCTGTAGATATTATTTTCAAAATTAAAAATTTTTTTTACTCTTTTTGAATACCTCTCCCAATAAGTCTACTTGAAAAATAAATCCTTCAGTAACTACAGGACCATAGTCTTAGTCCCATTTTTAATTGTTATGGGGGCGAAACCGCAAAGTCATTAAATATGCTCGTAGCATCAAAAAGGCCCCTTGAACTTACACATATTGTAACGGGCAACTAGCGATGAGTTGTTGACGGTTTTTCCTTTAACGAAACGTTAACGTTGATTTACTTTTGTCTACTATTTAATCAACTAGTTGAATCCGTCAAACGAGTTAACGTACTACTAATGTCAACTTTTAATGTAAACCGTACTTTAATTGAACGGTTTTTATTCAAAGCTGCGAAGTTCAATTTTAGATACAATTTATATATCTATATATATATATATATACAACATGTAACATAATTAACGCACTTTGAGAAAGTAGTTTCTTCAGAATCGTTTACTGAATCAATTCCTATCATTTTTAATATAGATAATTTTTTATCCCAAAAATAATTAAAACTACGTAAATTACAGTCACACTAAATCTGTACAGTCAAAACAAACTGAAATGGACCGTAACTTAAGCCAATAAGATTTTTAAGAGTGCAGTTTTATTTGTATTGTTACTAATTCTGTCATTCAATAAAAATAAAGAAGAATGAACTTTATTTCAAGCAAGTTAAATTCTTTGCGTTCGTGGATTTGTACTGTGACCACAACATTCTTCCGGAATTAGTATAACTAATTTGATAAATAATCAGTGCATAAAAATGTTTAACTAAAAATTCAGTGTATGTATTATGATTATAACATAATATACTAATTGGGGTGTCTGAGAGTGTGCGTTAATTACGTTACATATTGTATATATATATTGAATTCAATATTGGAAAAAGTTTGATTGATGGATCTACTTAGATGACCTTCCCTTCATACCTACTTTTTCTTCAGGCTTAGGACTGACTGAATACAATTAGTTATAAACCATATTCTACTCAGGCGTATTTAAAGGATTATCTGATTCTATTTACACAAATCAATTATTATTTACAATATATATTTTTTATAGTTTTGTTTTTTTTTTTTTTTTTTGTTTTTTATTATTTCCATAATTCCTTTGTCGATTTTATGTACATTCTTCAATTTGTTTTATTCTACATTTAATTCATACCCCTTGAACTGGTCACAATTCACTGTTACCCCTAGTATGTTGCGACATTTTCAATTTTGTACCTTATGTAGTACTATTTTATGCAAATATACACAGTTATATTAATACAAACAAATTGACACTGTTACTATAAACTTTAACTAAAAAGTTGTTGTATGTCGTTTATTGAACGAGACGCACACATTGAATTCATAAACATCGTTGACGAATTCAACTAGTTGGTTCAAAAACAGTAAACGGTTGTACGTTGACAGGAGATAACGGTTGATTCAGCTGGTTCGTTGATTCAACACCCATCGCTACGGGCAACTACAGAACTACCAATACAAGCAAACGCTTTTCCGCACTTTGATTCCTTTGTAGGGGAATGGCCAAATTAACTTAAATACTTATTTTACAAAATGTCACTTTGTACCTGTCAACTTAAAAGTAGTGCTCGATGAAGCCACAAAGTACCAAATCCCTAAAAAACTTTTCATAAGCCTCACTTTTGCTGTATACTCTCCAGCTTCATAAAGTTCTTTTGGGTACTCTACAGTCCACGTTGACTCATTTGAGGACAAAATAAACTGAAAGCATTTATAGAAGTCACATATTATATCAAAAATTTCAACGAAACATATCTTAATTTTTATTAAATATTTAAAACTTTTGGATTTTAACAGTTTACATTACATTACATACATCATGGAATTAGCCTGTTGCACCTTGTCTAAACAGTGAATATGTTGATTATGCAATGATTTGAATCCCTGATCGTCACCAACAAATCTTTCACTAAAGCAACAGTGATAGAAAAAGTCCATTCAATAATAATTTACTATTTTCACAATACATTAAAACACAAATACCGCATGCCTTATTAATGCAGTAGGTACATCTTCATCATCATGGTGTAATGATGATGAAGATGTACGTTTACATTAAACATAGGTCCTGCCCAAGGAATAAAACAAAGCATGGTCCTAAGCCACCAATAACCTTCGACTTCCTGCATCTCTATTAGAGATGGGCCGAATATTTGTTTCTTATTCAGTATTTGGCAGCTTTATCGAATATTAAGCTAAATCACCACCACCATATTGAAATGTACGAATTCAGTAATTGCCGTGTTGTTCATAATTTTACTGTTGAAATCATATAGTGTATATTATTCATAGGTTAAATCTACTTGTATAGCGTTATATTTTTGAGGCACTATAGCTTTATTTCCAATTACAACAAAGAAACATTACATTAGTATATTTCACTTTACTTTGGTTGTGCGTTTCTCTAAAATAAGTCAAAATAGTAGATCTCCTGCCGCTCATTTTTAACATAGGATTATCAATTTTTACTAAGAATAATGCAACGAAATACTTTTTCTCACTAAAATAAAAAAAATAATAAGCATGTGCCGGCAATTTGCTCAGTACTAGACGATGTCAGGAGTGGCGGAGGAGCGAGGGGCGGGGTCCGGCGCTAATCCCGCGCGCTTTACGGTAACAAGTTTCGATATAAAGTGGTTAGGTACCAAGGTGATCCTGTTGAATAATGTTCGGCCGAATATTCGGTTCGGTAAACTTTTTTCCGAACTTTCGACCGAATATCAGCCCATCTCTAATCTCTATTGCTAGGTCATCACTTTGCTTGCCACTCGAGAATCTTTCTTAGTCCAGAGGAAAAGTAAGCTAAAGTGGTCAGCAAAATAGCATAAGGAATCAACAACTGATACAGAAAAAAACTCCCTTGAGTATGTTTTATGGAATAAATATATGTGATAGCTGATAATATATTTTGATTATTTGTAAATGAAAAAGTACCATCAAAAAGTACATTATCACAAAATTTATATACCTTAAACTTAAAATGCTACTTTAAATAAAACTAAAATTAATGCAATCCTCGATCTCTCACTCGAGATAATAGTTTTTTTTTTTTTTTATAGGATAGGGTGACAAACGAGCACACAGTCCACCTGATGGTAAGTGGTTGCTGCGGCCCATAGACATCTACATCTATCTTCCATTACAAATCAAAATGCAGATGCGTTGTCACCCGTGAGGACTGAGATGGAATGCCTCATTTCCAGTAAAAAGGGTCTCCGGTTCTCTACACTCACCATACGAAATACAGCAGCATTAAGCTACTATTTCACGCTGGTATTCTGTGAGAGCGTGGTCCTTCCCCGGTCGAGCCGACCCATTCGTGCTACAACTATACTACTAATATAATTGCAGCATGGCTCTACCACGTTATAAAATACTATTATGTATAATATTATATATATTGCATAATATTAGTATACAAATACACTACATATTATCTCGAGTGCATATATCACAAAGTGCGGATAACCAAAGAGGCAGTCTCAGGCAATCAGCAGGCCCAGAAACATGTGTGGTGGTGATTTGTAAAAAAAAAACAGTGAATAATACAACAATGTTTAGCCTATCTGATTTATTTTGCGATTCCAGTGTAGGCAAGTGTTAAAAAATTTCAATAAGTGTAGAGTGGAGTTGTGCATTATAATTACACCCGACGGTAATGCTTGATATGTTTTTTTTTAACTTCAGTGCAACTTTTCATTGTAATCAGTGATAACAAAATGCTATAAACTCAAAAAAAATTCAGTCCAATATCGCTAATTTGTGAGCTATAACTATCTGTTTGTCTGTCTGTCCAAGCTAATCTTCAGAAGGACTGAACTGATGAAAACTTCACAAACAAATAGAGAGTAATACCATTAGTGACCTAGACTAAATTTTATCTGAAAAATTTAGAGATTTTATTAAAATAGAAATATTGATAAAATAAAGTAAATGGTTTTTAATGATTATCTTAAGCCCAAATAACACCACGTTAATAGATCCCACCCAGGCAAAGCCAGAGCGTGAATGAATGAATGAAATATACTTTATGGTACACCAGAAATACTAAATAGATAATTGATAGAAAAGAAATTAACAGTACAATTGGCGGCCTTATCGCTTGGAAGCAGTCTCTAACAGGCAACCATTGCAAAGGATAAAGTGACCTGTGAGAAAGGGTAAGGGTGTACGTAAGTTGTTGAATAACACACGACATAAAATTAAATATAATTCTATAATCGATAAATACACACATAAAATGACTGAATATATTTTAAATTAAAAAATATAGTCATACAATATACGAGAGCATACATTATTTATGACTAGTGACACCCTAGTCATAAATGTTATTTTAAAATTAATGTACCTACTTGCATATACAATTCTTTTCAAAATATTTTGCCATAATTATAGTCAACTAAATCTAAGAAATACCTTTTGATATTTCACATTAATCATTCCGCAGTAACCTTGCACAAGCATACTCACCCAATTTAAAATAACTATTTACGTAAATCTGAAGAATTATGAAGTTATCATATTTCATTACAACGTGTATAGTTTTTTATCACTAATTCAAATTTTAATCTTTCAAACAAAGCAATATATTAAAAAAATAACCAGTATCAACATATTTTACTTGAGGTTGTTTCAATGATATGTTGCTATGTACCTTAACATAGTGTTTGAATGATTAGAATTCATTGTTTAGCGAATAATCAGCAAATATAATTAAATAATCTATAAATAATTAAACAAATAATTGAATCATATTTTTTTATGTATTATTTGTTTAATTAAATTTTTATTTTAAATTTTTTTTAAATGACATAAATCATGAATAAAACAAGTTTATTTTTTTACTTTGTCAACATAAATTAGTGTAGGCAGAAAAACCCATATATATGGATGCACTGTAAAAACAATAAGTAATTTAAAGCCCCCGCCATTTCCGGAGCTTACTGTGCGTAATTTTGTGTTTTTCTTTTTATTTTGTGATTCAGCTTAACTTTTTGGACTCTTTCTTCTATATTTGTTGAAGCATTTGCCCGTATCACAAAGGACGATTGGGCAAAGGTGGTAGAAAAAAACAAAAAAAATGATTATGTATGATTTTGAAAGAGACATTAATTTTGACTGCCAATTAAAAATCAAATAATAATAATATAAACAATAACAGCTCAATTAGTTGTACTGAAAGTGATTGAATAAATTTATTTTTAATCTAGTTCCATTCTTAAATTTTTATAACTTTGCCCCTAGAAATAAGCAGTAACAAAAAATATGAATAAACTGATGAATCTTGTGTTTTAAATTATCCATTTCTAATTTATTCAGATTTTATTCAAACCAAACTGTAAATGATTACCAACTCCAAATAATCAATATTGATTAATTTAAAAATCGAATCATTTACATTCCCATTATTTGGTTGGCATGCTTGGTGCAATAGGTCTGACAGCTATGAGAATGTATTTCTTAAATTTGGTTGACTATAGAAAATTTCCAATTAAACAAATAATGTAACGATATACTGCAGCAGGTATTTGCTATTGGTATTCTGCATTTTAATAGTATGAGCTCAATAAGACTCCATTTCTAATCCCATTCTTTATCTGTACAGACTACTTTTCTTGTTAGTTATTTTAATATTAAAAATGCATTACATCTAAATTCTTTTTTTTTTTAATAATTTATTCTATTATGTAACAAATTTAAATTTCATCAAATTAAAAAAAAATTTCAATATATTGACTCCAAAGTCAGTTTCAGTATGATTACACATTGAAATCATATAAAGACGTACTAGATGTGGCATTTAATAGGAGCAACATTTGACAACAAATTTTGTTCACAGTGCCTCTGCAGGAGTGTGGGTGTGTTTATTTGTGTGCAAACAATTTGAATTTTTATAATTAACTGCAACTGTGATGTATTTTGGCCAAGACACAATTTGCTATCATATATTTTCTTAGAGCCATGCTTTTGGCATGAAATTTCATAGCCAGTTGTTGATAACACCAGCAAACCCTCATCATATAGGTATATCTTATTACTCATCAAATATTTAAAAAAAATATTACCGTATTTTAAAAAAATTACCTCATCTTCATGCTGTGGGTGAACGTCGTCCAAAAAAACATATTTCAGGCTTTCGCCAGCGTACCCTGTTACACTTGCGGTGAATGTAATTTTAGAACCACGAACTGCGGGACCATTATTTAACAGTGCCACGTCGAGTACGCATATAACTAAAACAAAACAGATAACCAAGAACTAAATCATTACGATAATTTGGACTGGGATGCATAAATACTACGACAATAATTGACAGCTTACCAAATTTGAACATAAACATGAAATAAATAACAAACGGTAGACTAGACATTTTGTTGATATAAATTACGAAACTATACACATAACACAAGGAGAAAACAGTATAGACGAGCTTCAGTCACTTATATACACAATATATTCCAATAAAAAGTGAAAATACTATTTGCCTGAATTTAATTATTTTATCAGTTTCAGTTCGGTTTTGATTTTTTGCATCATCAAATTCGCACACAGCCACAGACTAACTGTTTTTTATATATAAAACTGACTTTACGGCTCTGGGATCTAAACCTTCTGAGCCTGACTAACATAGAGATTTGGGAACAGAAGAAAACTCGCTAAGTGCTAAAGCATAGCCCACCATTTATAGCGGCGCTGCCATCGGTAAGTAGTATCAGCGAAGTAATTTTTTAATTATTCACAAAAATAAACATTACAAAATGGTGAAATAATAAATAATATTATTAATAATCAAATATATTTAACGTCGCTGAACTCGAACGGCTACGAAGTGATGCTGTTCCCTCATCGGATGAAAATGCTACGGCTGAGGATGCGGCGCCACAAATCGTGGAGCAACCCGTAAACGTGAATGCTGCCGTGAATACCCCTGTTGTGGTTGATTCAAACGATGATGGAAAAGTTGCCCAGGAACTGGAATTGGGGTATATGAGCAGTACATTTAAAGAGGCGATTGTGGAAACGCGCAGTATGTCTCTCGAAAATCAACCGTGACTACCCCGCATATCCCTAAGCAAGCGGAATCGAGCTGTCGTGAGGGCTCTGAACCCAATGCTGGTGACCTATTTGGAAGCTAGCCGGGACCTTTGCGAGACAGATTCAATTCTTTTTGTCACTGCGCTGGGAGTCTGCAGTATCATAGGCGCCAAGGTTTCCACGGCTGGACGCGCTACTGGCCAAAGAAGCGCTATCCCAGCATGGAGAAGAAGAATTGAGGAACGTATCGCAAAGTCTAGAGCTCTCATCGGCAGACTGATATGCTTCAGATCAGGCAATAACAGGGCAAGAATTGTCCGCACCGTTAGGATGGCGTTTGCTGGGACAAATGTCAGTATGACGGAGTGCATAGATGAGCTGAAGCAGAGAATCGCTGCTTGGGAAAAGCGGATTCGGCGATATACCGAGAGGTCGACACGGTTCAACCAGAATCGTCTCTTCCAGAGTGATCAGAAGAGCCTCTATGAATCATTGGAGCGACCAATCGTAAGTGAAATGGGCCCAGCACCGAATCAGGCCGACACTGTAGCATTCTGGCGCGGCCTGTGGTCAGAGCCCGTAAACCACAGCGCCCATGGACCCCGTCATTATAACACCGGATGACATTGCTGAGGCGGTCCGTAGAGACCCGAACTGGAAAAGTCCGGGACTCGACGGGCTGCATCACTACTGGCTGAAGGGGTTCGTGGTGTGTCACACTGTGCTCGCCCGACAGTTTCAAGAGACTCTCAACCAGAAGTCACTCCCAAGCCTCTTCACTACTGGGATCACCCATTTGGTTCTTAAAGACCAGGGTACCACGGACCCGAGCAAATACCAGTCGCTTCCATCTCATGGAATTGCTAAACATCACTTGTGAATTTAGCAATTCCATTGGAATGGTGTTGGGAACGTGTGTTGGGAACAACCTCTAAACTACGAGTTGTTACAAGATGTGCTTGGAGATGGGTGTGAGTCAGACCTGGACATATCGGATGAGGAGACAGAATCGGCTGTCAATGTACCTCGGCTACTAGATCATGAAGGTGATATACCCTCAAAGATTCCACCAGGTAACCATAACAGCGACAGTGACTCAGATCAAAATATGACTTTGACATAGCTACAGTACAGAAATCAGGAGAACTTACCTGCAAACTCCTGCCACCTCGAAATGCCTAATAGTCATCAGGCACAAAAAAGACATAGAATCTGAAAAGCTATTACTTATACTGATGTGGAGCATAATTTTCCTTCTCAACCGGAACCCTCTGAAATGCTGCAATATCTTTCTATATATTTCAATGAAGATTTTGTTCAAAAACATCGCACACTGCACAATTTTGTACGACCTGCGTAAAACTGATTCAGCTTAAGCACAACCTCTCAAGAGATATGCAAATTATTTGGTATACTTTTATTGGTGGGCTGTATACCATACCCATGAATTAATATTATGTACTGGCGTACAGGTATGCGCCTGGAAATAATCACTAGTCAAATCCCAATATTTCTTATTAAGGAATAACATGCACATAGTACCCACAGATAAACCACGTTCTGGAAATTCAAATCCGCTGTGGAAGGTACAGCCCATTTTCGACGCTGTTAAGAAGGATTGCTTGTCACTTGAAAGGGTGGCAGGTGAATAAACAATCGATGAACATATTATACCTTTCACCGGGAAACATATTGCGAGTCTTAGTAAAGAATAAACCGAGACCACTCGGATTAAAAAACGAAAACATTACAACAAGTGACGTGTTAATTTTAGTTCGGTTCGGTTTTATTTACTATACTACCATTTAAGAAACTAATTACCATTTAAGAAAAAATTAATTAATTATTGATTTTTTGTTCTCTAGACTGACTTTTTATTTTGGAGATAATAGTACTTAAGATAATAATTATTATATTTTTGTTTGTTAATTATTTAAAAGAGACTGATTTATGTAGACTTAGCAGTAATTTATGTGTAAAAAGACCAAAAATTCATTGAAATAGAAGTTAATAACAAAAGACTTTGTTATAAAAAGTAATACTTTCTTTAATAATAATTGAATAAATATATTAGAAAACATTTTTTTACAGTTTTATTCCCTATGCACGATCGTGTGTTAGCACACTTAAAACGAGAGCGCACGTACGTGCGGGGGGTTACAGCGGAATTTAAAAAGGGTGGATTTTTTTATTATTTTTTCTAAATACTTTATCTATTGTATATCTAGAATATAATGTAAAATTTTTGAAAAGCGGGAAAATATTTCGTCGTTCTGAAAGGGGTAGAAAGAGGAATCTAAACGATAACACAGAAGATCTAATGGAAGTAGTTACTTCAGATACAGACCTTAACGAAAAATATAAAAAAATAGAAAACAAGCTCAAAAAACAGGCAAGTATACATATAAACGATAATCAAAAATCCTATTTAAGTGAAAAAACTTTAAAACTAATTGAAGACAGAAGAAATTTAATTAAAAAAAGGATAAGAGAGAAAATCAAAAAGAAATATCTAATCTTAGCAAACAGATTCGTGAGAATATGAAGATTGACAGGAAAAATAGAAGAATCAAAACCCTAGAGAATCACATTAGCAAAACAGGAGGCATAAAAATGCGCTTAAGGAACTTCGAGAACAGGGAAAAGAATGGATACCGAAGTTAAGAGACAAAACACTGCCAAATACTTCTCGCAAAAAATTTAAAATATAGCAACAAACTATTATCGTTTACTGTACAAAGAACATAGTTTAATTCCTTCAAAAAATACAATGGCCGGATAAAGAATATAATAATAATATACAAAACCATATGATCAATGACTTAGAAGTTATACCAGAAATATTAGTAAAGGAAGTAGAAAATCTATAAAAAGTCAGAAGTTGGAAAAAGCCCCTGGTCCAGACAGAATCACAAACGAACATATGAGAGGGACAATTAAAGAACTAAGCCCAATACTAACAAAGGTCTTCAACGAGACTCTACAAACCGGCTGCATTCCGAGTCAATGGGCAGAATCACATATAATACTTCTACATAAAAAGGGTCCAAAAGACGATATAGGAAACTATAGACCCATTTCTCTCATCTCAAATGAATATAAAGTTTTCGCTAAAGTGATTCTAGACAGAATATCACTCACACTCGACGCAAATCAGCTCGTGGAACAGGTAGGGTTCAGGAAAGACTTTAGTACAATCTATCATATACATACAGTCAAACAGCTCATACAGAAATACAATGAATACAATAAAACCATTTACCTGGCCTTTATAGATTATGCCAAAGCTTTCGATAGCCTTAAACACGAGTCGGTGTGGCAGAGTCTAAAAGAACAGGCGATCCAAACTGCCTATGTTAATATCATCAAAAATATTTACAGTGAGAGTAAAGCCATAATCAGGCTAGAATCAACGGGAGAAGTTTTCCCAATCAATAAAGGCGTCAGGCAAGGTGATCCACTCTCACCAAAGCTGTTCACAGCAGTGCTTGAGCAAATGTTTAGAAAATTGGAATGGGCTCATTTGGGACTAAATATAAACGGAACAGGATTGAGCCTTGAGATTTGAGGAGATCTAGTTATAATGAAAGAGGACCTACTTAAACTAAAGTCCATGATACAAGCCCTAGTAGACAGAAGTAGAGAAGTAGGTCTAGAAATTAACATAAACAAGAATAAAATGATGACCAACTCAAAACCCATAGACAGAATAACAACGGAGAGAAACATGAAAATGTAGAGGAATACGTGTACCTAGGCCAGATAATATCGCCAAATGACCAACTGTCCAAAGAAATAGAGAAAAGAATTGCGACTGGGTGGAAGAAGTATTGGGCCTTGAAAGAAATCATGAAAAGCAAGGAAATGGGTATGAAGATCAAGAAAAAGATTTTTGATACCTGCATCCTACCCTGCATTATATATGACTGCGAAACCTGGGCTTTAACAAAATACCAAAGGGATAAACTAGTAAGATGTCAGAGAAGCATGGAAAGAAGCATGTTAGGATTGAAACTAATGTACAAAGTGAGTAGTATAGACATTAGGTGCAAAACGAAATTAACAGATATACTGTCACGTATTGATCAACTTAAATGGAGATGGACTAGACATATGCTTCGCTGCAAAAAGGAAAAGTGGAGCAAACAGGTGACAGTTTGGTACCCAAGGGACAGCACTAGGAGCCGAGGTCGTAAAGCAAGAAGATGGGAGGATGATTTAAAATTGACCTTACGACCCCTATGGGTAAGAGTGGCGGCAGATAGAAAACAGTGGAAAGAGTTGGAGGAGGCCTTTGTCAAAAGACACACTGAAATAAGAGACATTTTGCAGTAAAAGTGTAGTTTTAGTTTATATAATGCTGTACTTTCTTTTTAAATTCTTTTTTTAGTTTAGTTAAACTTTAACTTATTAGTGTAATAATGTAAAATATTTCGGAAAATAAAGGTTTTATTATTATTATATAACGGCTAGGTCATGTTTGTCTTCATGTATACCTTTGGTATACTCAGGTGGACTCAGACTGAACCTAACGCCCTGGATAGAAAAGTCCGCACTATCATGACGTCCCATAGGATATAATAAGCCTGATATTGTGCTGATGGACCGGGCACACTCAAGGATATTTTTGGTCGACATTACCATTCCGTATGACGAGAACCTCGTGAAAGCTGAAACAGACAAACGAACAAAATATCTGGACCTGGCTCACGAGGTGACCGACATGTGGGGTGGTATGTCGGCCGAAATTATTCCTGTAGTCGTCTCTGCGAATGGGCTAATCCCAGTCAGCCTCTCGGGTCATCTGAGGCGACTGGAACTCCGTGACGGACCACTCCGGGCTCAAATACAGAAGGCGGTGCTCCTCGATACCGCCCGCATCGTCCTCCGGTTTCTTTCCTTTCCTCCTAATGATTGGCCGTTTGGTCTCCCCTACAGCTTTTATTTATTTATGTATTTTTGTATTTATTTTATTTTATTGATATTTATGTATATTTATCCTTTAATTTTAATTTATATAACTCGTACGAATTAATTTGAGACCTGGGCCGATGACGTAATTGTCAATGTACGGTGTGCAAAATAATGCGTCGTAATATTTTTTTATTTGAAATTTTTGAGATTTGCATGAGATTATTAATATCTGGCAAGCAATTCTGGCAAGCGGAGAAGTAATAAGTGATATACTGTTGCCATTTTTATATATTTTAAATATTTATTTTTTATAATATATATAATATTATTTTTAGTTAACGCGTCAAGGAAGGACAAAGAAATAAACATACACACTTTCTCATTTATATTTTTATATTTATTATACACTTTATTGCACTATAAAAAGTGTTACAGATTCGTACACAATAAAAATACAAAGCATAACAGGCGACCTTATTGCTAAAAAGCAATATTTCCCAGGCAACCTTAGGGTGAAAGTGAATCAATCTTGGATAAGCGGAACAGCACAAATTATGTAAAATCAAGGAATAGAAGTAAGGAATATTAATAAGGATGTATTATAATATTTATTATTCTTCCCATCTTTTTTTAAAAATAAAAAAGGCGGAGTAACTCCTAAGCGTCACAAGAAAACGGCACAACACAACGTCCAAACTTAACAATAAAACAACGCAATTAACAACAAACAGATAAAATAACGTTCAAGTATAACAAAAACAAACAAAAGTCCAAACCAAACAACAAACAATTATCAAAAATATCGAACTAGAGTCGAGACGCGTAACCGTAACAAAAATGCTATCGGTACTGAGCGCGCACGGCCAGCGCGGGACGCGGTGCGGGGAGTCGGGAAGGGGGTCGCATTCCATCGGAGTCTCAAGTTAATTCGTACGTGTTGTAATTATATATTTATAGAACCCAACCAGATGAGAAAACTATATAGATACCCCACATAATAATAATAATAATAAATTGGCGCAGGGAAGTGACGACCCCATCGCTCGCTGATGTAACGGTTATGTGACAAAACCGCTACTTCAGCGCAGTCAGTCAGCACCTTGCCAAGAGGAGTTAGTGCCGTGCCTCGGCAAAAATTGAAGGTGCAAAGGCCCGCTTGTGCATATGGCCTCACGATGAAACGGCGCCGGGTCTGGGCGTCTCCCGTTAATTGACGCCCACTATGGATGATGGAACACAGAAGATTGCGCAAAGGGCCGCTGCCTGGAGGTCGCCAGGGCGCGTCTGGAGCTGGCGCTGGACGCAACAGCATGCGAACCGCCAGCCAAGTGCGAGGTGCTGCACGACCACCCAGCAGCCCCTCGCATCCATCACCCCCACCAGCTGGCTTGGTGTCGGCAGGGTCTTCGCGGGCCCAGCATTCGGCACCTGCCACTGGTGGAGCACGCCGCATCCGTTGGACAACTCAAATGAACAGCAACGCATTGCGGGCGTATATTAGGGTGAAAGGGGGAGAAATTGGAGGTTTTGCGTATCGGGCAAGGATTTATCGACTTTTTGCTGAGCTGGAGCCATCTTTTACCGTCACCGAGCAAAACCTGGCAGACCGAGTTCGGTATATCTTGCGCTCAAATACATTTGATGTCACCGAACTCGAATGGCTACGACGTGAGGCTGATCCTTCATCGGATGAAAATGCTACGGCAGAGGATGCGGCGCCACAACTTGCAGAGCAACCGGCAAACGTGGATGCCGCCGTGAATACCCCAGTTTTGGTTGATTCAAACGATGATGGAACAGTCCCCAGTAACTGGAACTGGAGCAAATGATGTATGAATGTACTCCACATTGGATGAGGCGATTTTGGAAACGCGCAGTACGCCTCTCGAAAATCAACCGCAACTTCCCCGCATAGCCCTAAGCAAACGGAATCGGGTTATCGTGAGGGCTCTGAACCCAATGCTGGTGACCTATTTGGAAGCCAGCCGGGACCTTTGCGAAACAGACTCAATTCTCTTTGGCGCCGCACTGGCAGTCTGCCGTATTATAGGCACCAAACTTTCCACTACTGGACAAAGTAGTGCTATCGCGGCCTGGTGAACAAGAATTGAAGAACGTATCGCAAAGGCTAGGGCCCTCATCGGCAGACTGACATGCTTCAGGTCTATAAATCATTGGAGCGACCAAAGGTAAGTGGAACGGGCCCAGTACCGAATCAGGCCGACACGGTCGCATTCAGGCGCAGCATGCGGTCAGAGCCCGTAAACCACAACGAGGGCCCTTGGACGGAAGTCGTGGCAAGTCAGTATGCGGGTATTACGCCCATGGACCCCGTCATCATAACGCCGGATGACTTAGCTGAGGTGGTCGGTAGGGCCCCGAACTGGAAAAGTCCGGAGCTTGACGGGCTGCATCACTACTGGCTGAAAGGGTTCATGGTGTGTCACGCTGTGCTCGCCCGACAGTTTCAAGGGGCTCTCAACCAGAAGTCGCTCCCGAGCCTCTTCACTACTGGGATCACTCATTTTGTTCCTAAAGATCAGGGTGCGACAGACCCGAGCAAATACCGCTCCATCACTTGTCTACCGACCATATACAAGACACTAACATCCATTTTGAGCGCGAGAATCACTCGTCACCTAGACTCAAATCAGGTGATGTCGCGAGCTCAAAATGGATGTCGGGGTGGCGGTCGCGAAACCAAGAAACCACTCCTCATTGACGCGGTCATTGGCAAAGTGATGTAACGCAACCGTCGGAACTTCTCCGCCTCCTGGATAGATTACAGAAATGCATTTGACTCGGTGCCCCATGCATGGCTAAAGAGGGTTCATGAGCTGTACAAGATTGACTGTACAGTTCGAGACTTCCTCGAGCAGTGTATGGTGCAGTGGAGTACGATCCTCTGTCATCTAGGCGAGCGGATGACGGCTGCGGAAAGCCGCATAAGGATAAGAAGGGATATATTCCAGGGCGACTGTCTGAGTTCAATCTGGTTCTGCCTCTCTTTGAACCCTCTCAGTACTTTACTGGAGGGCTCCGGAAGGGGATATCAGCTTCGGAAAGGAGGTATAAAAGTGAACCACCTTTTCTATATGGATGACCTCAAATTATTCGCCTCCAGTCGCTCCCATCTTATGAAATTGCTAAATATCACTTGTGAATTTAGCAATTCTATTAGAATGGAGCTGGGGACGGATAAGTGTAAGGTCGTCCATGTTGAAAGGGGAAGGGTTGCTAACTCTGAGCATAGACTTATCTATGCCCGTCAACTTTAGGAACCTGTCCGAGGCTGAAACATACCGATACCTGGGTATGTCACAGAAAATCACACATATGAGGCTGGTATGAAACAGTCAGTTTGCGACGTGTTTTATGCACTCTTGACCAAAGTGCTTAACAGCCTTTTGTCCGGTGTGAATAAGACACACGCATATAACGGCTGGGTCATGCCTGTCCTCATGTATACCTTGGGCATACTCAGGTGAATTCAGACTGAACTTAACTCCCTGGATAGAAAAGTCCGCACTACAATGACGTCCCATAGGATGCATCATCCGAGATCGTCGGTAATATGGCTGTGCTTGGTGGCTTAAAGCATGGTGGGCGTGGCTTCCTGAGCGCACTCACAATTCATAATCGCGAAGTGTGCAGCCTCTGTCATTACTTCCTGGCGATATCGGATGATCCATTCTATAATGACGTCATTTCTAGTGATAAAGGACTTACCCCTCTATCCTTAACCAACGAGCAATGGCAGGATCCGGCAGTACAGAGCATTTCCGACCGGGAGACCGTATGGAAGGAGAAGGAGCTCCACGGGAGGTACTACAGGGCTTTACATGAGCCCCACGTAGATACAGCCGCCTCCCTCAACTGGCTACGTTTCGGTGACCTCTTCGGGGGAACCGATGGTTTTGTCTGTGCAATACAGGATCAGGTTATTTTTTTTTTTTTTGGGTTTAAAAGGAAAAAAAAAAAAAAAAAAAAAAAAAAAAAAAAAAAATCAAAAAAAGAAAAAAAAAAAAAAAAAAAAAAAAATATAAAATAAAAATAAAAAAATATATATTTTTTATATTATTTTTTTTTTTTTTAATAATAAAATAAAATTTTTTTTTTTATGTGTGTCTTTTTGTTTGTTTTTTTATCTTTTTTGGTGTTTGGTGAATTTTTTTTCTTTGCAGCGTGGGCTATATAAGACCAACAACTATCGAAGATACACCCTAAAGGATGGCACTGTCGACGTCTGTCGAGCTTGTCGCCATCCCGGGGAGTCACTTAGGCATGTCACCTCCGGTTGTTCGGCGCTTTCTAACTCTGAGTACTTGCACTGGCACAACCTAGTAGCCAGAATTCTACACCAGGAGCTCGCTCTGAAATACGGTCTCGAGGACCAGAAATTGCCGTATTACAAGTACTTGCCGGAAGCCGTGCTCGAAAATGAGGCACCAGGCTCTACTGGGACCGGGCCATCATCACGGACAGGACTATTCTTGCGAATAAGCCTGATATTTTGCTGATGGACCGGGCACACTCAAGGATATTTTTGGTCGACATTACCATTCCGTATGACGAGAACCTCGTGAAAGCCGAAACAAACAAACGAACAAAATATCTGGACCTGGCTCACGAGGTGACCGACATGTGGGGTGGTATGTCGGCCGAAATTATTCCTGTAGTCGTCTCTGCGAATGGGCTAATCCCAGTCAGCCTCTCGGGTCATCTGAGGCGACTGGGACTCCGTGACGGACCGCTCCGGGCTCATATTCAGAAGGCGGTGCTCCTCGATACCGCCCGCATCGTCCGCCGGTTTCTCTCCCTTTCTTCCTAACCCTGGGCCGTTTGGTCTCCCCTGCCGAGAGCTTCCATCTGCGCCTCTACCCTAAACTCGTAACAATATGATCACACATGTATACAATGGTATAGTGGGCATAACAAAGTTACTTTTGTAAATTATTTGTATTTTTACAAAGTATAGTTATTACACACATTTAAAAAAAATTGTTATGTAACCACTGCGGATATCCTCATTTCTGAGTTTATCACGCAGAGAAACCACGAGCATAGCCCTCTCTATAGCTCGTTGAGCGACATACGGCCAGCAGTGAAGGACCATGTCTCAAATCCGTAAGTCATCGCTGGTAACACGCACTGGTTGTACAATCTAGTTTTCAGAGATCGAGGTATACCTGACAAGAAGATGTGTCGTAATTTCCCGAACGCTGCCCAGCCAAGTTGAATCCATCGGTTGACCTCTCGGTCGAAGTTGGACTTACCTAGTCGGACTATTTGTCCCAGGTAAACGTGCTCGTCAACAACTTCGAGCATAGTGCTCCCAACAACTACCGGCATGGGTGTGACGTGGACATTAAACATGATCTTTGTTTTGGTCATGTTCATTTTAAGACCTATCCGTTGGGATACACCATTGAGGTCATTGAGCTTAGTGCTTAGGTCCTCCAGCGATTCTGCCATAAGGACTATATCGTCGGTAAATCGAAGGTGAGTGATGTACTCCCCATTGATGTGAATACCGTATCTTTCCAGTCCAGTAGCTTGAAAACATCTTCCAATGCAGCTGTGAAGAGTTTCGGGGATATAACGTCACTCTCTCTTACACCTCTCTGCAGTTTGATAGGTTTCCAACTCTGGTTCTGTACTCGGTTAGCCATCGTAGTCATACTGTACAAACACTTCAGCACTTCGATATACCGACAGTCAACTTGGCACCGCTGAAAGATTGTAGCACCGCCCAAATGACGACGGAATCAAAGGCTTTCTCATAGTCGTATGCTGCGGCAAAGTCAGATTGTACTCTTCGGTCTTCTGTACAATCTGCCGCAGGTGTTCTATGGTATTGAAGCCTTTTCAGAAACTGGCTTGTTTGGGAGGCTGGAAGTCTTCGAGTCTGCGTGCGAGACGATTCGTAATGACTCATGAAAAAAACACGTAGACGTGGCTCAGAAGGAAAATCGGTCTGTAGTGCTTCAAGAGAGCGTTGTCACTTTTCTTGAAGAACAAGGCCACCGAACTTCTGCTCCACGCCTCCGGAGTATTGCCACCATGGAGGACGGAATTGAAAAGCTTCTGAAGGACTTTAAGTACTGGTGTTCTACCAGCTTTTAGAAGCTCCGCTGCAATTCCATCCTCGCCTGGGACCCTGCCGTTTTTAAGGTGCTGGAGAGCCATTCTGGAAACATATGCCATTTTGGAAACATATGAATGATTAATGTTAAATAAATATTTGTCTTAAAGTTTATGAACTACCTAAAGAGAGCACAGATACTGGCTTTATTAACGATGGTTAATATAGCGCATATCGCCATATTATGGCGCGCTATTTTTCCATAGCGCACAACGCGTGCTGTTAAGTACTTTGGTTAATTAGTGTATACTGTATACTTATAAATGATCGAAGGACACAATTTTCTGCTACAAAAGTAACCTACCTAATTCTTTTAAATGTAAATAAAATATAGATAAAAAGTGTATATATTCATAGACTTAGAATATACTGGTGTATGTATATTCTAAGTCTATGTATATAATAGTGTATGTAAAAAGTTGATTTTTTGTGTATACAATCAATAAATATTTTAAATTCGCCTTTAATTGATTTATAATTTAAATTAAGTTTAAAATGACATTTATATCAATTGTAGACAGTCTTAAGTCTGAAAGTGTGAAAGAGTGTTCATTGGTTTTTGTTTACTGCTTAGTTATATTTTAGTCCAAAATGCGACTTATTACGGAATAATATTATTATATAGTATGTGGTCCGTTAAACGAACGACATGTAATGTAATTTTTTTTATAGAAGAGGGGGCAA